GYTGATGTTTTGGATGATTTGGGGGAGTTTAGTGAGTATGTCTTCATTTGGTTGTAAATGTGCTTGAGTGTTTAGTAGTGATTGGAGCTCGGATTGGAAGGCTTGGCTGGTGAGGAGGGCGTTATTGAAGCGGTAGAAACTTTTACCTGTGTAGCCCTCCTTAGTGAGTCTGATATCTAGGGATATGGCTTTATGATCTAGCCCCTTGTGGTATGGGTTGCTGTGAATGAAGCAGTCTTGTATGGCTCCTGATAGTGATTCTGATGTGAGGAAGAAATCTATTCTGGAAAAGGATGTTCGCCCTTGTGAAGTTTTTCTGATGCAGGAGTATTTCTWACTTTCCGRGTGTAGAAGGCGGTATGGGTCTAGTAAGTTTTTCCTGTTCATGAAGTCATTTAGGTCARCACTGTTAGATTGTGATGTGGGATCGAGGGAGTGAGAGATTTTGTCTAGATTGGGGTTCTGAACTGAGTTCCAATCTCCCATGATGATGGTGGGTGTGAGTGTGGGGATGTGTTGTTCGATCGTGGTTAGRAAAGGGGKTTTGTCTWGTGGAGTGTTCGGTCCGTAAATCCCTATGATGGTCATCTCCTCTTCTTTGAATTTGATGTCTAGTTTAATCCACCTACCTGTGGTATTGTCTTGGTTAACGTTTTGTATTTTAATTGTTTCTCTGGCTGATGAGTTTTGATGAAGGAGAATAACAATACCTGCTGAGCCATTTTCGGTAGCTTTGGCCCAGAAGGCCTTTTTAACGTAGGTTAGTTTCCTTGTGATGGCTACTTGTAGATTCATGTGTTCATTACTATCAGTTAGGTGTGTTTCTTGGAGGCAAGTTATGTCTGGTGGGTTAGGGCAGAACCAACCTATGGATTCTGTGACCTTTGCATGTATTCTTGTTGTTTTCTCCTTTTCTGAAATTTTTGAAGTATTTTTTGTCTGCCCAACTGCGCACCTTTAAGTGGTGCCAAATAGTCGGTCATTCCTGGTGTGGGGTGCCTGCAGCACTCTTAGGGACGCTGCTCAGTTCGGGATGTCTGTCTCCCTTACAGGTCATGACAGAGGCTCGTTGGAGTGACTCCCTGGCTCAGTGGGTGGTGGGAACCAACAGTTTGTGAGGTTCACCCGTGATGTGAGTAGGTGATGTGCTGCTTTGCTCCATGTTGGATGTGTGGACTGCCTCGTTTGCGCTCCGCAGCTGCCTTGCTGCCCGTTCCGCTTGCTTCGCAGGTCGTTCTTGGCAAGCTGCTCTGTTTGCTGTGTGGTGTGGCCGCGTTGTTGGTGTTGCCTTGAGCATCGCTGCTCCGCTGCCTTGCCCCCCGTCCGCTGGGCATGCCTTCCATGTCTGTTGCTTGTGTGCCTTGTAGTTTGGTTGCCTTATCGGTGTTGCCTTGTTGGTGTTGTTGCCTTGTGCTTCGCTGCACAGTTTCCATGCTGCTTGTCCGCTCGCCCTGCCATTCCTTGCAGTAGTCTTTGTTGTTGTGCGGTTAGGTTTCTCTGACAGCGTTGCCTGGTGCTTCACTGAGTTGTTGCCTGCTGCTTTGTGTGTGGCTGCCTCGTTGGTGTTGCCTTGTGCTTCACTGTGTGGTTGCCGCTTGCCGTGTCCTTCCTTGCAGTAGTCTTTGGTGTTGAGCAGTTGTGTTGCCTCTGCAGCGTTGCCTGGTGCTTCGCTGGGTTGCTGCCCACTGCTGTGTTTCGTTTGGGGATAGTCTGCCTTCAACAAGGGTCAAAGGGTTCATGACCCAAACCATCAAATACGGAGATTCTGCAGATTGTCAAGGGTTCAGCCTCCTGATGAGTCGGTGCAACTCCGACGAAACAATCTTTCATCATCAGTATTATTTTTTCAGTCTTTGCTTTCTTTGGGACTCTTTTTTTTTTTTGGTTTGCCTGTCTTGTGTGCTTGTGTGTTGCCTGCCCTTCCACCTTGCCCGTGCCCTTTAGCTTTTGTTCTTTGTTGCTGCCTGCCGCCTATGCCTTGTTGCCTTGACTGTGTGCCCACCCACCTCCCCTTTGCCCTCCTGCCTCTGTTCTCTGTTGCTGCTCGTTGTCACATGCCTTGTTGCCTCATGCCTTTTCCTTCATCTTTCATTTGCTTCCCCTTGTTGCCTTGTACTGTTTGTCATTGTTGCCTAATGCTGTTTGTTTGCCCACCCGCCTCCCCCGTGCCCTCCACCCCATGTTTTTTGCTGCTGTGTGCCGTTCAGGCCTTGTTGTTTCTTGACCTTTGCCTACCATTTTTTTTTGCCTGTTGTTTTTGGTCTTGCTGCCATTTGGCTTGGTTCTTGCCTTATGGTTCCCTTTGCTTCATGACCTTTCAAACCTTGGCTTTATGTGCATTCCTCTTAAGGGAATGTTGCGCTGCGGGATCTTTTCCATATGTTGTGTATAAGCATACCTCCTAACGCAACACGCCGTGGCACGGCCGCGGGAGCCTTATAGCACACAAACAAACACACACACACACACACACACACACACACACACACACACACACACGCACACACACACATACCTACTTACGTACGTATGTACATGCATACATGCATACGTACATACATACATACATACATACATACATACATACATACATACATACATACATACATACATACATGCAGAAAGCCATACACCCACCCACACATGATATCCATCACTCTCACCTGGGGGGGGTCATCTCCCTTGTTGAAGGGGCTGGAATTGGTGATCATTTCATAGATCATGCAACCTAGCGCCCAGTAGTCCACAGCCTTTGAGTGTCCATATCGCTTGATGATCTCAGGTGCCATGTAATCAGGTGTGCCGCACATAGAGTAGGTGCGTGTACCAGGAAAAAGGCGCTTTGCAAAGCCCATGTCAATCAATTTTGGATAGCCATTGGAGCTGATCAACGTGTTTTCTGGCTTCAGATCACGGTATATGATACCTTTGCCATGCATGTATTCGAGTCTGTTCCAAGGCATCACAAGTCATGTGTAACCAGCTTATTAGTCCTCTCCTCCACACCAAAAGAATGTCGGAGGAAATCATTTTCAGGCCAGCATAAACCGTTGCAGTCAAGATTTGATATCGCCCGAAGGAGACATGTACAGTTGGACAAAGTTCATGTTAGGTGTGCACAGACTTGGGTTTCTCGTCTCTCTTTCATGTTCAGCAAATTGCAACAGGTCTAGACACAGGCAGTCAGGGATGGTGGTACATGTCTGGTACCTCATGCCTCTGAACGACCAACTGATTCAGCTTGGTCACTGCAGAAGCTCTACGTAGACATCTCTGGCGCCTAGTTCCAACTGCTTTCCCAATCTTTAACTCTTGATCAACACAAGGTATTGCTTGTCACAAATTCACATGAAGCTGTAGCTACTGTGGACCCAAATACTCCCTCATCCATGTCCATGCCTGTCCCCATGTCTAGCATAATCACAATGCCCGCTTTCTGGCAGAGATGGGGCTAAGGGAACACCAGACTCGGCTGTCATGTTCGTTACCAAACCTGTTCGGCAACTGTGGATGGAATCCAGCGGGTACATCCTTCCCCCTCTCAATTCTTCCCTCTGCTTACTCCCTGCCACACCCTCATCATCTTTCCCATCTTTCTCATATGTCTCATCCCCCTCTCAAAACCCATCACCCGTCTCTCTCTCTCTCTGATCTCAATCCATCCTGACTTTCCCCCGTCCCTATCTTCCGTCCCGACTCTACCCTCCAATGTTCCCATTCTGGGTCTCCAAATGCCACAAAATATTGTTCCTGGTTAGTGACGAGCTGCCATTTGACATGTTGCTAGGAATGTACTACCTCGAGGTTGCTAAGCCTCAGTTTGATTGGGAGAGGAAGGTGATGCTTTACAAGTTGCCAAATGGAAGGACCGTTAGGCTGCAGAAATTTAAGGCTAGCAGGCTAATGGAGAACTATGGCTGCATGTATGTGTCTTCTTTCCATAATTACTACAAGCAGAACTGCGACGAGGGTATGCACCTAGTCTTTGTCTATGAGAAAGGGGAGGCCGTTAAGACACCCCCAAAGATCCTGGTCATTTCCCAAGTGCAAATTCACAATGAAAGACAATGCCACCCAATTGCGAAAGAAATGAAAGCACTTGCAAAGAGATAAAGACC